TCAGTTATTTTGAGAGGCTCGTCGCACAACTAATATTGGTTTGGGAAAAAAAAGAAAAAGAAAAGGTGAACTTGAAATGAAAAAGGTTTACAATACGAGGGTTTTTATCGGATAGTCTGGTTTACTTTCACTGCGAAAGCGTTTAGAAACTTCGGTGATTTCTCTGTTTTTTTTATTTTTTTTTTTTACGTTAGTGTATGGTTTTATTGTGGGTGAGGCAGATGGTGGTGCCGCAGTTAGCCTTTAAGGATAGTTAACGTCATGAGATTGACATTTGCCGGGCGTAAGGTTGTATTACGTACCCTCTTCTCTGTCACATTATACAGTAGACTTCCTCTCCACCTCCCAATGTACTGTGAGCTCCACCCAAGTCTCAGTATTAACCTCTATTACTTCAGGTCTTAATGAAAGTGCGGTAAATAAATACAAGTTCAATTGAATCATAGGAAGTTTAGCATTGCAGGTAATGAAATGCCGTGAGTACGATGCCAACCTCTGAGTACACGGAATATAGTCCATAAAATATGATACCTTAACCTTTTGAGTACGATGAAATGACCTGTAGAGTACTATGAGATAATCCCTTGAGTGCGATTGTTTAATCTCTTGAATATGGTGACTTAATCCCTTAAATACGATGACCTAATCCCTTAAATATGATGACTTAATCCCTTAAATACGATGACTTAATCCCTTAAATACAATTACTTAATCCCTTAACTACGATGACTTAATCCCTTAACTACGATGACTTAATCCCTTAAATACAATGACTTAATCCCTTAACTACAATGACTTAATCCCTTAAATAGCTGTTTTAACCCTTTCAATATGATCACATATTCCTTTTGAGAACGATAACATTCTACTCATGCATGGGTTGAAGGCATCACATTGAGGAGTTAAAAGTCGTATCTGAGGAACTTTCTCTTAAACTTAACTGGGGAATTAATTTGTTTTTTTTTTTACTTCTTTACAAAATATAATTAAAACTCTGAGAAACTTTATTTATGGATGAACCAAAAAAGATTCTCAGGTGTTTTAAGATATTTGAAAGTTATCTCCATCCATCTTGTTCTACCGTCACGTAAAGGGAGAGAGAGAAGAAAAAGTTTTACCCCGCAGGAAACTTTTGATGATAAATGGCAATGACAAAAGAAATAAACGGCGTGAGAAAATTGCCACCAGTATTTAAAGAAAGTCACTTTGATAACCCGAGATATTTTACCCCTAGTATGTGGAGGCTCAAGAGCGGAAATTCGACATTATTCTCTACGTGTGTGTGTGTGTGTGTGTGTGTGTGTGTGTGTGTGTGTGTGTGTGTGTGTGTGTGTGTGTGTGTGTGTGTGTGTGTGTGTGTGTGTGTCCATTCTTCCCTCCCATCTGACCATGACGCCCTCACTCACTCACTGAAAAAAAAAAGTTTGGTGAATCCTAATAAACGTATAGAATATTTTCATTATTCTCTGCTTGTATCAGAGTTTGGTGCTGTATAAGGAAGTTCCTCTGGGAAAATTAAGTCAGTTAAATGAAGTTTTTGCGAGGTGTCTGGACGTGAGACCCGCGGATTTTTTTTTATTTTTTTTATTTTTTTTTTTGGGGGTGTAATTTCGTGTACTAAGATTAATAAATTGGGAAAGTGTTTACATTTACATATATTAACTTGTAATTGAAGTACTTACATTTGCAGTTAGCACTCGTACAGGAAAGAACAAGTGGAAATAATTGAGGATAGTTGGTCAGAGGTAGGAGAAAATTAAAGTGAAGTTGTGGTCGCTACCGTGGTAAAAGAAGTGTGGTGGAATGGAGTCACCTTGTCATACTCCTTTCTCTCTCTCTCTCTCTCTCAAAAGTTTTTCGCTGTCTTTTTTTTCTGGATAAGTATAATTTCCTCTAAAATTAGTAAGTCTTGACATAAGGAGGTGGTGCAAGATTTGTTGTGTTCTGGGGTGTAATTCAGCATTGAGTCAGCAGTTTGAAGGCTTATAATAGTACTGTGTGTTAGAGTGTAGAACATGAGGGGGGAGGAGTGTGTGTGTGTGTCGGTCTCAGTCAGTTTACTTCCATCACCCGGCGGTCTGACAAGTACCACATCACCACCTTCACCGCCTGTCACATCACGATCTCCTAGACTAGAACATCACCTCCTACATAATCTCCTCTCACTACACCTCCATCATGCGTTCACTGCTGCCTGGTGCACCCGACCCCGGCCAATTGCCCTCCTCCTTGTCTATTGGCTGTCTCACTCGCCTCTCTCCACCCGACCACCTCACACCTGTTATCCCCCCATGTTCCCCCCCATTTGGTTTTCTCCCCGTCTATTGGCTATTCCACTCATCGTGTCCCTCCCCCCCTTCACCTAGCCTCCGCCCCCGATATTGCCTCCGCCCCCCCACTTTATACCTGTTACCCCTCCTCCCCACACACCTGCTCTTCTTCTTGTCTATTGGCTGTCTCGCCCTGCTCGTCCCCCCCACCAAGCTGGTACTCACTATCTGAAATCACTTGTTGATAGATATCAGCGAGGAGTTGGCTGTGGAAAATTGCGCATTTGCTCAACAATAGTTCACTCGACATCATCGTCTTTGGGCACGAGAGTCTGTATGTAAATATATCAAAGAATGTAAGAATGTTTTTTTTCTGGATGTTGGGATCATTACAGATTCAGGAAGAAATGTTCTCCCTTGCATTATATCCTTCTGGTGGTTTGTTACTTGAATAGTCTTGTGGATGTCGTCGGTGCAGCACTTAACTCCCTCAGGTCTTCTCGCCAACCTTGGAATGGACGCACCTTAGACTTGTATCCCAGCACAGTGTGTGTGTGTGTGTGTGTGTAAGAGAGAGAACTTGAATTTCGCTACGATTACAATTCTAACCTAACCTAAGTTGACCTTTACGGGATACATTTCACGTGGCTTAACTATCACCTGCATACAAGTATCGATAATGCTCTCTACCCGTATTATTATTGGGCCGAGGTCACTAATGTGGGCTGAGGTCATCACTGGGTGTGGGCCGAGATCAATGAGCTGATTTCACGTTCCATGTTCATTTTCTAATCTGATATCACCCTGGCTGACCAAGACACAATCGATTTCCACCGTCCTAGAAACCTGTCACTCACAGTCTCACCCATCTGCCCTGCACACAGTCAAGGCATATCATAATCTGACCCACACACACAGGCCGTTTGCTCCATCCTGCTGCACAGTCGCCACACACCATCTTCTTCCTCGCCTCTACTAGTTATTGGATCGGATGCTTTTGTTATCTACAGTAACCTACGTACACATACCTAGCCCGCTCCACCGTCCTTCACGCCTGCCGCAAGCCACCAGCAGTCACACACACACACACGCACACACACACACCTCACACACCAACGCACACACACACACACACACACACACACCTCACACACCAACGCACACATGTATTTTGACCATTTTACACAACCTATCATTATCACATCCTCACCCCAAACACGCCCGCCTTTCTTACTCTACATAGACACTTATTCCACCACAATACACACAAGGTGACTTTACATTGTTAACAGATTCCCTCCTTGGTGCTTCACGTGAGGACCAGGTGTGGTGGAGGACTGCAAGCATCCCCAATACCTCTCCCGTCAGCAGGTAGGGGTGTCGTGTGGTATTGGTAAGGGGAAGTAGAGTCATTTTTTAATGCCTGCAGATCCTCCTGTAGGTGTTAGTGGTGTGTTTTGGTGTTGGGAATCGAGTAGTTGCCTGTTCCTCCTCCTCCTCCTCCCTCTCTCCCAGTAGGTGCGGCAAAATCAACTGGCAGGTGTAGTGTGGGGAAGGGTGGGGGGTGATGTAATCCCCTCCTTCTCTCATACTCCTCCTCCAGTAGGGACGTGGGGGGGGGGGGGGATGGTGTCAGTAATAGTGGAGGCGAGGCGTGGGCAGGTGGGTGTGAGTGACAGCCAGGATCCTCCTACAATGATGGTCCATTGAAACACGCGTTAATAGCCCAGCAAGCGTCGCCTGCCAGCCACAGCTTTTAAGTGTTGGGCTGCTGCAGCTACCACCGTCACAGCAAGGCTTCCTTGGATGCTGTTTACCTCCTTAAGACCAAAGTTTATTTCAACATTGTCGTCCCACGGAGGAATTGTTGGTGAATGTTGAGGCGTCTTTCGAGTGGTGGGAGCCATAAACTGTAAATTCTGAAATGGAATTCGAGACGTGGCAATTTTTTGTGTTTTATTACCTATTAACTCGTGGGTTATCGTCATGGTTCGAAATGCATGAATGCCTGTGGAAATTTGGGTCATATTTACGTTTGGGTTGATGTACAAGGAGCGGGGAAGCGGTTGACGTTTATTGTGTCGTGGTGAGGAGGACACATTGTTGGGGGACAGTGGCCGGCCGGGGCGACGCGCTCCTCGCTACACCAGTCGCCCCGGGCATCCGCTTGTCATTTGTCTCACCCCAGCCTGTCTAACCTGCACCACACAACGAAGGTCCTGCAGGATGGTGGTGGACACTACAACACCATGAAGGTCCTGCAGGATGGTGGTGGACACTACAACACCATGAAGGTCCTGCAGGATGGTGGTGGACACTACAACACCATGAAGGTCCTGCAGGATGGTGGTGGACACTACAACACCATGAAGGTCCTGCAGGATGGTGGTGGACACTACAACACCATGAAGGTCTTGCAGGATGGTGGTGGACACTACAACACCATGAAGGTCCTGCAGGATGGTACGGATACTACAACACCATGAAGGTCCTGCAGGATGGTGGTGAACTACAACACCATGGAGGTCTGCAGAATGGTGGTGGACACTACACCATGAACTATGGTGGCAACAATACCATGAAGGTCCTGCAGGATGGTGGTGGACACTACAACACCATGAAGGTCCTGCAGGATGGTAGCGGATACTACAATACCATGAAGGTCCTGCAGGATGGTGGTGGACACTACAACACCATGGTCTGCAGGATGGTGGTGGACACTACAATACCATGAAGGTCCTGCAGGATGGTAGTGGATACTACAATACCATGAAGGTCCTGCAGGATGGTGGTGGACACTACAACACCATGAAGGTCCTGCAGGATGGTAGCGGATACTACAACACCATGAAGGTCCTGCAGGATGGTGGTGGACACTACAACACCATGAAGGTCCTGCAGGATGGTGGTGGACACTACAACACCATGAAGGTCCTGCAGGATGGTAGCGGACACTACAGCACCATGAAGGTCCTGCAGGATGGTGGTGGACACTACAACACCATGAAGGTCCTGCAGGATGGTAGCGGATACTATTACTTTAATGGTGTCCTGAAGGGGTTGGGGGAAGCATGATGAACAATTTAAGATAACGAGGGCATTTTGGATGAGCAACACGAAGGGTAGATCGACCATAATACTTTACATGCACGTGTGTGTGTGTGTGTGTGTGTGTGTGTGTGTGTGTGCGCGCGCGTCAGTGATAGTGGCTTGTGATACCAGAAGCTGGACGGGTTTTTTCTTAAATTAATGTGTACAAGAGGGAGAGAATACCGTTTTTCTTAGGGAAATATATTATGCAGAGGAGCTCGTGTTTTGAGTGGTGCTTGTACAGTCCCCTTCACCAGGACGTTTATTGTGGGGTTCTTCAGGTTTTGTGCAGTGTGGCAGCCTTGTGTTTGTTTACATTTAACAGAAGGAAATTCGCAATAGTAAACATACTGTGGAATCAAAGTAAAACAATATTAAAACATATATCTCAAAGTAATGACGAGGCCCTGTAAACGCACTAGTGAAGGGGATTGTACATTACATCCATCCATCCATCCATCCATCCATACATACATACATCCATCCATCCATACATACATCCATCCATACATACATACATAAATACATACATACATACATACATACATACATACATACATACATACATACATACATACATACATCCTTGACCACCGAAGGGTCAAGACGTACCTGGAGCGCTGTTAAGTTGGCCCATACCAACTCCCTCCCCTGAACCCTCCTCCCCACCGGAATATCAACAAGTTCTCGCCAGAAGTTACTATTTCATTTAGGAAAGGAATGGAACCAGTGTTAAACAGAGGTGAACAGTGCTTAAGTCAGTGAGAAAAACTCAACAGTAACAGTCGTACCCAAGTTAACCTTCACACAGTGAGGTCCCAGGTACCCAGTGATAACGGCCCATGAGACCCAACAACAACCAGCGATGTGTTAATCCGTCTACGATAGGAAGGCCTGGGACCACACCTCACGCATATAACACCATCTGTGAGGGAATTACTACACCACGTCAGGTCCCTCATAACACCATCTGCGAGGGAATTACTACACCACGTGAGGCCCCTCATAACACCATCTGTGAGGGAACTACTACTACACCACGTGAGGCCCCTCATAACACCATCTGTGAGGGAACTACTACACTACGTGAGGTCCCTCCTAACACCATCTGGGAGGGAGTTATTACACTACGTGTATGCTGTTCAACACCTACAGTAATCTGTATGTTCACTGTATGTTCCTTTACCTTTCTCTCATGAAGGCTTTTGTTAAACCACCAATGTATGTAATAAGTCATTTATGTCCAATGTATATTTTCAGCCTTCGGGCTGCAGAACTCTTTCAATAAACCGTCAATTATTATTATTATTATTATTTATTATTACATTCATACATACATTCATTGTAACAGATAATTGATAGGATGAGACACTAGTGAGATGAGTTGTTGAAGCTTGCTTGAAGAATACCGGGATGTCTGAATGTAAATTTAGATAGATAAGTATGAATGATGCACCAAATACTGATGAATGAAAGGATTAGATAAGATAAACAATGAAAGAGTTGGTCAGACAAAGGTAGAAGTTAAGACGTGAATTGACAAGATAAGAGACGGTATCAGGTCTGAGGTAGGCGAGACGTGTACAGTATATAGCTGTGGATTGGTATGTGGTGGGGGTTGACTCAGTAATTTGGCAGTGACGGAACCCGTTATTGGCCCGGTGCGGGAGAGAGAGATTTTTACTGTGGTGGTGCGGTCATTTCACACATCACAGAACAGTAAGTTAGTGAATTTCCGAAACAGGTTTTAGTGGGATGGTTGTTGCTCTCAGCAGGGGTCTCTGGTGTTTTACACGGGCTATCACTCATGTTAGGATATTAACTGATACAGTTACGACACTCTGAGGCATTTAATGTTCGCACACTTACGAGCCCTCCCGAGATGTTATTACCCCGCTACTTAGGACAACAGTGCTCTCTCTCTCTCTCTCTCTCTCTCTCTCTCTCTCTCTCTCTCTCTCGCCGTACACTTCAACGTTTTACCCCGAGGTTTTTTTTTATTATTACGTGGAGATATTACCCAGCGAAGGGGAAGGAAACGCACGATACCAGATAAGTGTTGCAGTATCCGTGGGTGTACCTGGGATGTAGTGATTGTCGGGTGTGAGGGGGTGGGGTGCACTACATCTGTCCGTGAGTGTGGAGGTAATTGATGTAGGGATGGGAGGAGTGGAAGGTGAGGATGAAGTCGTTGGTTGAGGAGGATATAGGGGGGGTAAAGGAGAATTAGGAGAAGCTAGGGCACGGACGATAGGAAGGGGGGAAAGGAAGAGAGTGTGAAATGGGGGGATAATGGTGAGAGAGCGGCAGGAGGGGAGAACTTGTAGGATACGTGGGTGGATGACGGGGGGGAGGGGGCAGGTGGACTCTGTTTAAGTATTGTGATGTAGATATTAATCTTGGTATTCCAGCAGCGGGGTGAATGTGTGGGCCGCGTCCCGAGAACATCTGACTCCGGAGGTGGAGTATAGTATTAGGAATGTGTACCTGCTATTGTTCCCGGTGGACTGTGGTTAAGTGTACCGGGCCAGTGATGGGCGAGGGAGGAGCTGCTACTGGTGGCTGTGGCCTGCTACTGGTGGTTCAGTGTACCGGGCCAGGGGTGAGCGAGGGAGGAGCTGCTACTGGTGGTTCAGTGTACCGGGCCAGGGGTGAGCGAGGGAGGAGCTGCTACTGGTGGTTCAGTGTACCGGGCCAGGGTGAGCGAGGGAGGAGCTGCTACTGGTGGTTCAGTGTACCGGCCAGGTGAGCGAGGGAGGAGCTGCTACTGGTGGTGTACCGGTCCAGGGTGGGCGAGGAGGAGCTGCTACTGGTGGCTGTACCGGGCCAGGGTGAGCGAGGAGGAGCTGCTACTGGTGGTTCAGTGTACCGGGCCAGTGGTGGGCGAGGGAGGAGCTGCTACTGGTGGCTGTACCGGGCCAGGGTGAGCGAGGGAGGAGCTGCTACTGGTGGCTCAGTGTACTGGGCTAGTGGTGGGCGAGGGAGGAGCTGCTACTGGTGGTTCAGTGTACCGGGCCAGTGGTGGGTGAGGAAGGAGCTGCTACTGGTGGTTCAGTGTACTGGGCTAGTGGTGGGTGAGGAAGGAGCTGCTACTGGTGGTTCAGTGTACCGGGCCAGTGGTGGGCGAGGGAGGTGCTGCTACCGGTGGCTCAGAGTACCGGGTAAGAGCTAAGTCCTTTAACCTGAAGTCGTAGAGGTGGTCCAAGCAGACTGGTCCTGGAAGCTGGTTCTTGCTGTGGTACTGTTATCCCACTCCTATATACAGTACATCACCAGTCAGTAGTTTTTGAGATAGCTTTTACTTATGTGAGTATTATTACGTATTGTAGATTCTTAACTGAGAGTGATGACTTGTTGAGGCAGCTTCCCCTATTATGAAACTGCCATGGGGTTGGTTCAACACTCGGCCTTCCACCAGAGGAGTAGGAGACGATGGATTTATATAGCCGCTAAAATGACAGCTGTAAAATATGTAGAAGGGAAGCCCCACGATATATCTTGGGGAGCTCAGAGTAAATATTCTTCCGCCTTCATTGTGCCGTGATTTATGGCAGCCTGTGACGGTCTGTGTCTTTTCGAGGAACGGATTGTAGGTGATTACGTGCAAGAAGGGGGACTGGCTGTATGTGGGAGACACTACCTCCACCACCTGTTCTTCAGTGACCATCTTTATGTCTCATCCTTCAGTAATCGCTTCTCCTCCTTCATGTTATTACTTCTTTCATCTGCTGTTATCGTTGTCTCCCGTCTTCCGTCTCTTCTCCCATTATCTCCATCTACCGTTCTGCTTCCCTCCTCCACCACCACCACCTCCATATGTAGTGTGGATGGTCCCCCGGAGGATGGCGGCGGCCAAGGGCGGTACACAGGGAGGATGGTAATGAGGTAAATAGTGCAACAAGGTCACCACACCTGCTGCTGCTCTCAGCCGGGACCTGCTTAGTGCTTCACTGTGTTCTTTGTGTTGCTGCTGACTCAGGTGGTGTCTTGCTGACTATGGCGGTGTCTTGCTGACTATGGCGGTGTCTTGCTGACTCAGGCGGTGTCTTGCTGCCTATGGCGGTGTCTTGCTGACTATGGCGGTGTCTTGCTGACTATGGCGGTGTATTGCTGGCTATGGCGGTGTCTTGCTGACTATGGCGGTGTCTTGCTGACTATGGCGGTGTCTTGCTGACTATGGCGGTGTCTTGCTGACTATGGCGGTGTCTTGCTGACTATGGCGGTGTCTTGCTGACTATGGCGGTGTCTTGCTGACTATGGCGGTGTCTTGCCGACTATGGCGGTGTCTTGCTGACTATGGCGGTGTCTTTGCTGACTATGGCGGTGTCTTGCTGACTATGGCGGTGTCTTGCTGACTATGGCGGTGTCTTGCTGACTATGGCGGTGTCTTGCTGACTATGGCGGTGTCTTGCTGGGCGGTGTCTTGCTGGCGGTGTCTTTACTATGGCGGTGTCTTGCTGCCTATGGTGGTGTCTTGCTGACTATGGCGGTGTCTTGCTGACTATGGCGGTGTCTTGCTGGCTATGACTATGGCGGTGTCTTTGCTGACTATGGCGGTGTCTTGCTGCCTATGGCGGTGTCTTGCTGACTATGGCGGTGTGGCGGTGTCTTTGCTGCCTATGGCGGTGTCTTGCTGACTATGGCGGTGTCTTGCTGACTATGGCGGTGTCTTGCTGACTATGGCGGTGTCTTGCTGACTATGGCGGTGTCTTGCTGCTGGGCGGTGTCTTGCTGACTATGGGTGTGCTGACTTGCGGTGGACTGCTTGACCTGGTGCCTCTGTTGCTGACTCAGGTGGTGTCTTGGTGCTTCTGTTGCTGACTCAGGTGGTGTGTTGCTGAATCAGGTGGTTTCTTGGTGCCTCCGTTGCTGACTCAGGTGGTTTCTTGGTGCCTCTGTTGCTGACTCAGGTGGTGTCTTGGTGCTTCTGTTGCTGACTCAGGTGGTGTGTTGCTGACTCAGGTGGTGTCTTGGTGCTTCTGTTG